CCCTCCAGGCCATGTTTATGTTCTTGTATGTGTGAATATGTATACAGATGGAGATTTTTCTTGTGTTTAGCATGAATGGATTCATACTATACATATTTCTCTGCCACTTTTATTTTTTAACTTAATATATTTTGGAAAGGTTTTCAGTGCGTACAAGTCAGTGCACACAGATCTACTGTGTAATTTTTAATAGACATATAGTATTCCATACTATCACTATACCATAGCTCATATAACCATTTATGTTATTTCCAATATTTGCTAGTGTTGTGGGGAACATCTTTATAATTACACGTCAAAGTGCTTCTCTTAGGAAAATATTAAGAAGTTGTGCTCATTTGACACTTGTTAGATATTGCCAAGATGCCATCCAGAAATGACTCCAGAAATTTACACAACCCTCAACAGTCATTTCCTTTTTCTCCTTTGACAGTGATAGTAGAGGTCTTTAAAAAATGTTTACTTATTGACAAGTGAAATGTTTTTACTTTAATATCCCTGATTAATACTATTTTGTTTTCCCTTTTTTCTGTGAATTATCTATTTCAGTTTTCTGAGATTGTTTTTTCTTTTTTATTCCAAATGTTTATTTTTATGTATCTTGAACATTAATTCTTTCATAAATCTTTTACTCTGGTTTGTCATTTGTCTTTAGCTTCATTTATATGTATATATTGGAACATAGAAATTATAAAATTTTATATGAGCTTGGACATTTAAGTTCCCAAACTCCTCCTAGAAAAAGTGCTACATACCTCATTGCTGAAAATCACTTCATTCACCTTCGAAGTACTCCCTTTGGTAAGCTGTGCTCTGATGCCAGTGCCAAGTCTACCTTTCAAAACAGGTGGACCTGTTTTTGGACATCTTTTTCTAGAATGGCCATCAGAGCTGCCATCATACGAGTTCCCACAATTAAGTTTGTGAACTCATCCTAGAAAAAGTACTACATACCTCATTCCTAAATATCATGATGGCTCAGTGCCTGTGGCTCAAGCGGCTAAGGTGCCAGCCACATACCCCTGAGCTGATTGGTTTGAATCCAGCCCGGGTCAGCCAAACAACAACGACGGCTGCACCCAAAAACTAGCCGGGTACTGTGGCGGGC